TGCCGATCTTGTCATTCTTCTGGTTGATGCGGTTCCTGTCACTGCCACGCCAGTAGGTGTCTTGTCCGGTTGTTTTTCTGGTGGTCTAGTTAATTGTGAGGTGACGTTGCTTGGTGTTGATGCCGCTGCGTTGGACCATCTTGTACCAGGATGATTCTTTGCTGGACGTCCCCTCCGTGGTCGAGTGGATCGTGCGTGTTGTGGAATAAGACCACCAGAAAAACAACCGGACAAGACACCTACTGGCGTGGCAGTGACAGGAACCGCATCAACCAGAAGAATGACAAGATCGGCAACGGCGGCGATGGCAGCGACTAAAGTACAGACAGAGGCAACGGCTAGGGTCCACTTGACTAGCCATGTGAAATCGGATGTGTCCACCGCACATGCTGATTGTTCTGGTGTTAGTTCTGATAAGTATGAGTCGTCCATTGCTAGTCATTTGTTTGAGCATCCTGATTGTCGTGCTGTGTATTCAGATGATTGTTTTTCGATTGTGTCACGTGTACGCAGTGCTAGATTGCTGAATGTTTTGGAAGCTGTATACATCCACACAAAGAAACCCAACCTTTGCAAGCAGAAACAAATCAAATTCACACTTAGGCTGTTAGGTAGGTCGTCAAAACCTCGTTAGTTACATGTATGTCCAGTGGTTGTCTCTTGTTGTCGCACTACATGTCACGCTTATTGAGTTTTCTCGCATTTGCACCTTTGTGTCATTATTGCAATTTTCGCTGTTTACTTTAGCTATCTTCTTTCTTTTTTGCGCTGTTTTACCACCTTCTTACTGTATTTAACCCTTTATGTACTGATTTCCAGCACAGAATGAAGCAGAATTTGAATTTTCAGCACAATTTTCACCTTCAACAGGCTATAAATTTAGGCCTCCTTTGCTCCATTTCCACAATCTTGGGCTCTTTGGAAAGCTCCTGGCGAGAGCAACGCCAGGGTACCAGGGTCCATCAACTAGCTGCCATAAATCAGGCGCAGGAACACATCAAAGTCGTCTCCAAGCCCAATATGCGAGCAAATTTCCCCATCAACGCCATTCCACTCTCCTCTATCGCAGAACGCTCAAATCTTTTCGAGGCAATTCAAACTTCAGCCAACTACGTCATTATCATGTGCTGAGTTGGTCAAAGAGCACACGAAAAGGGATTTCCCCCTGAAATGGCGAAAAGATCGATAAAAAATTTGAATTTGCAAAGACAAGATTACGGCGGGCGATATCTCTGGATTCGTACATCGTAGCTCTTCGGCGATTGTTGCATTGGAAAGCGTAGAGTTTTCGCTACTGAATAGACCCTTCGATTGTTGAATTCGGACAAGACATGATGGAGTTACGAAGGTTTTACGGATCGATCATGAATCGATCATATGTGATCGATTCGCGTACACACCGTACATAAACAGTAAGTGTAAATGGTTAATCCACTGTTCCTGTTCCTTTTCCCTTGCCTGTATTTCACCTGACGAGAAGGCTTGAAAGTATACTTGTGAAGACAAAAACTTTCAAGATGTTTGTAATGAGCCTGAAGTGTGTCCTTTTTATGAGTATTATTATTATTATTATTATTTGGAAAGGATTGGGAGAACTTCATATTCAAAGGATCAGTCGGGGAAGTGAACTGCCTGAAAAGAGAAAAAAACGCCAGACCCACCAGGACTCGAACCTGGGACCCTGCTTGTCATGAGCAATGCTCTAACCACTGAGCTATGGGACCAGGCTGAACCTAGAAGGCGCTGACAAGTTTTTCACTCCAAAGGCAGCTCACAACACGTGCCACACATACTGATGGCACTTGGGTCTTTTTCCCTCCCCCAGGGGACCAACCACGGTCAGTTTCTGGAAACTACCAGAGGTGAAAGAAAGTGATTAAATTTGGAAAGGATTGGGAGAACTTCATATTCAAAGGATCAGTCGGGGAAGTGAACTGCCTGAAATTATTATTATTATTATTATTAATTCAACATCTCCTGGCTCGTCAGAAGACTGCCAATATATATGAGAAGTCGGGTGGTAGCCAACCACGGCGAACTGAATAATAGGGAGAGAAACAAAGAGCATGAGGTATTACAATGGTGGATATCAGGAGGAAACCCGTTCTTAAAAAAGATATGCAAAAAAGAGAAGAAACACATGAGAACGAGTTGTGCTTCAACTTGTGCAGCAACTATCCACGACTGTAACAAGATGATAAACAGTCAGAAAGTGACTGTGCGATAATAGGGCACGAAACTGACAGGCCACTGAGACATTCAGCGGCCCGAGACCTAGCTCTAACACATCTCCAGTGCGCAAACCAACCTTCCAACTTGGAAGGTTCGTGGTTCGTGGACTACAACCTATTTGTATCTGAACCTGTTAACGTCCATCCAGGCAATATCGCCATTTAATACTGAACTGGTGTTTTTGAGTCGATAATTGCTTTTTTTAGTTCATCATTGCTTTCTAGAGATGATTATAAATTGAGTCCAGGCAATATCGCCCTTCAATACTGAACTGGCCATTTCGAGTTGATCATGATTTGAGTCTTTGACAAGTCGAGTGTCCATCTTTTGGGTTTGAGTGTAAATGAGTCGACCTGTATTGAGCGTGCGCGCTGACGGGGTGGTCTGTTTTGGGGATGTCCAGTTATGGGGATGGGGCTTTTGGGGGGCGCTGAAGTCAACGGCGCTGTTTTGGGTCGCGCTCATGTGGGGGCATACCGGTGCATCCCTCGTGATGTCCACGAGTGTGCGTGTGTGTGTGTGTGTGTGTGTGTGTGTGTGTGTGTGTGTGTGTGTGTGTGTGTGTGTGTGTGTGTGTGTGTGTGTGTGTGTGTGTGTGTGTGTGTGTGTGAGTGTGTCCCATATGGTGCAGTGGTATGTGCAGTCGATTTCCAATCGAGAGGTTGCGGGTTCAATTCCCGACGATTATGGTCGCACACGTCTTTCTTCTCTTTCTCGGTCTCTTCCTGACTTTTCTTTCATTCTCCTGGGTGGTTACCAACAGCCAGTGTATGCCGGAGTATGTGGTGTGGTGTGTGTGTGTAGAAAAAAAGAAAAAAGAAAAAAATGGAAAAATGGAGAAATGAAAAATAGGGATTCACTGGCCAGAAAAAGTCACTTCAATCAGCTGTGTGGTGGATACCAAGCTAAGAATAGTGGCGGTCAATTCATCAGCCTTGCAAGCTGTTGAATGGTGTAATCCCAGCACAAGTTGCTATGTCTAACATAGCTGTTCGCTACCATCGCTTCCGCGATGGGCAGGTCTGAGGTCTGAGGTCTGAGGTGAGTGTGTGTGTGTGTGTGTGTGTGTGTGTGTGTGTGTGTGTGTGTGTGTGTGTGCCTCCTCCTGGCTTTTCTTTCATTCACCTGGGTGTTTACCAACAGCCAGTGCCTTGCCGGAGTATGTGTGTGTGCGCGCGCACGTGCACGTGTGTGTGCACGCATGTGTGTGTGTGTGTACGTATGTGTGTGTGTGTGCACGCATGTGTGTGTGTGTGTGCACGCATGTGTGTGTGTGTGTGTGTGTGTGTGTGTGTGTGCGCGTGCATGTGCATGTGTTATATTCATGTATAATGTATGGGTGTGTTGTTCACGTTTGCGTGTGGCAAAATGCAGTGTACGATCAGATGCTAGAGTACTTGCCAGGGAGGTCAGGGAGATCCGACCACACAATTAAAATAGCACCAGGGCAATGGCTACTCGGTCCTAGCACCACACACACACACACACACACACACACACACACACACACACACACACACACACACACACACACACACACACACACACACACACACACACACACACACACACACACACACACACACACACACACACACACACACACACACACACACACACACACACACACACACACACACACACACACACACACACACACTGACACACACACCATTCCGCACGATTTAATTTTAACTCGTCGTTACTTTTACTCATGAGGTCGTATTTCTCTGGCCAAGAGGCAATATTGTACAACGTGAAGCTTCTCAGCTGATTTCGAGTGAGAGCTAGCGGGTGCCGTGTAGTGAGAGCTAGCGGGTGTGTAGTGTGAGCTAGCGGGTGTGTAGTGAGAGCTAGCGGGTGTGTAGTGAGAGCTAGCGGGTGAATCACTTACTGCATCCTACAACACATTAGTACCACAGTCATACCTTGCTCAACCGCACACATCCATTCTGCAAACAAAATATCCCGATAGGCAAGGGAACAGGATAACCGAACACAGGGTATGTTGGATGCATCGCGTATGCTGTTAGTCTGTAACCGGCTATTTTCTACCGGTTGGCGAGGGATCCGGATAAAACTTAAAAGAGGACCGGATAAGCGAGGTCTGACTGTGCTACACGTAGCAGAAAGGTTATACTAGTAAGGTTGTCATACTCAATCTCCCAACAGCCAGCTTCTTCAACCTTGCCATAGGGCTTGAAAGTGCTACGTCACAGCATAGCAACAATTTCAAAAATTCAAAAACTGGATCCACTTGGATCCAGTTTTTGTATGGATCCAAGCACATTTCAAGCGGTCTTACCCACAGCATGGTGATGTAGCCAGTGAAACTGACTGATTTGGCTACTGGGGGCGGGGTTACAACTGGTGGCGAAAAAAAAGTCACACCTGCATTCGACGTGAGTGGGTTGTTGTTGTTGTTTGGCTATATTTAAATGGGTTGCTATGCACCCACATACTTAGGCAATAGCAAAGTGTTAGTGGATCCAAAAATAGAAATCTGATGTCAACTTACTACTCCCTGGCCATTTTGACGTCATCACTTTCAAGCCCTATTACGCGATCAGATAAGGGCTGGCTTTTTCTGGCAAGCTACGGTTTTGCCAGGTGATCTGAAACCCGATCTCATGGATAATGCGTTACAGACCCCCCCGTCTCCATGGGCTGGATTAGAGTTTGTAGTGCTACAAGCACAATACCCCCCCCCCCCCCCCTGTCTTCCTGAGCCCAGGTATGCAACCACTGTTTCTCACAACAGCGCTTGGTTCATGGTTTCGCATCAGTCATAAATTATAATAATTATCATCACCACTGAAGAGTAGGCTGATTATGCATGCAGCAAGCGACACAATCAAAAACAGAAACGTGAGAAAGATCATGGGTGTCAATACAATTATTTCCTCAATTCCAGTCGGTAGTCATAAAAAATCACGTGGATCCAGAACATCAACAACAATCCACGAATTCATGTCAACATCCATCAAGGCCGCTAAGCCATTCTTAGTAGGGGGGGGGGGGGGGCGGTGGAAATGTGGTGTGTGATGGTGTGTGCGTGCGCATGCGTGTATGTATGTGAGTGTGTGTATGTGTGTGTGTGTGTGTGTGTGTATGTGTGTGCGTGTGTGTGTATGTGCGTGTGTGTGTATGTGTGTGTAAGCATATAATGTGAAACCAACAGGTACACAGCCAGTAGTGGTAGCATAAGCCAGAGCATAAGCCAGAGCATAAGCCAGAGCCATAAACATTCCTTTTCAACAGAATCAATTACGATAGTGAGTATTCAAAGCAAGTCCGCAGGGAGCATGTAGCCGCATCGGCGCAGTCTTGGATCTTCAGAGTAGTCACATTCTGACAGATCAAAGTATGTAATGCATTCAAGTTCATAGTAATTTCAGTTCCAGTACGAGACTCGCAGGCAAGTTCGCAGAGTGTTCGGGACATTGGGCTGCAGAGACTGGCGCGTTGCCCAGGACAAGCCTCCTCACAGCCACAGCTGATGTCAATGGCTCACAGGTTCAGAGCTGTTCTAGCGCTGGGAGTAGCTTGAAGGGATGCGCCGGAGGTCCTCACAGGCGACTTACTTGCGCTGGCAATTGGGCCACATCGGCCATCACCCACAAGCAATCACCCGCCAAGAAGTTCTCGGCTTGCCTGTAGAGCTCGCAGTGGCTGATCATCTTCGGGCATCCGCTGGCAATGTTCATGTCGTTGACGGGTTTCTGGAATGAACTGCTGTTCGGGTCCGGGATGAACGACTCAATGCGGTGATGGCGAGCTGGTCCCTGGTCAAGGATGGCAAACGTCACCTTGGCCCTGAACGGCCAATCGAGCAACGCGTCAAATTCTCCCTTCATGATGGTGAAGAAGACGGAGATGTGGGAGCCTTTGCCCGAACCATCACCATTGAGGTAGACGCGGAGGCAGACTTTGTAACCGTGACGGCTGGTGTAGAACGTTGGACTATAAAGACTGACTCGTCGGCCGGTACGCGCCTCCTCGTGCCTTCGTGCAAAGTTGTTGATCTTGAAGATGATCAGACCATTGTGGCTATTGGTTTCCACAGCAAGCAGACGTAAATCAACTTCAGCCAGCGCGGCATCGCTGCGTGCTGCAGTAACGGTCATCTGGCCCAGTGGGTTCGCACTTTCTTGAATTCTTTCCCTCAGTAGCTGGCAGCTTTCATCGGCCTGCATGCTCCTCTGTTCGCACAACTGAACAGATATCTGGATGTTCGCGGCCTTAGTTGCCATCCTGGATTCAAACTGGTCACCGAGAAAAACCTTCAGCGCCGCTTGGAACCGACTGTCAGCCATCAACGCAGCAGGATCGAGAGACGCTGACGATTTTTGCATCTCTGCCAGCCGCTTCCATTCTGCTTGTTCTTCTTGGAGCTTTTCTTCCAACAGGGATATAGTTTGCTGCTGAAGGGACAGTGAGTTACGCATCTTATCCATCGTACCTTCCAGAGACTGGGTTTGCTTAGCGACCATGTCCAGATGCTGTTCTTGGTTGTCTTGACAGTGCTTGTTCATTTCCTCACGTGTGGCCTGGCCAAGAACAGAAAAAAACTGAGCAGGTTAAAACAGTTGTGGATGGGCGATATCAACGGGATAGTTGAGCACAGCAGTTAAAAACCATCTCACGCAGAAGCACCCTACAGTCCATTAATAAAAAGATGAACTTTAAGCCATAAATGGGTCAAGCTTTGAGCTTTTAGAAAATTTTCTGCAATCCCCTATGGAATCCTCTTCCAAATATGGTTCTGAAGTATATTTCTCCAAAAACAAGCCGTAACGAGAATAGGATTTCGGCCAGGTTTTTGCCTCCAAAGTACTGAAGTAGGAAAAACAATGAAAATCCAGTACATTTCACTCCGCGTTCAACAAAACATTATGCGTTAAGAACCCCAGTTGAGGTACCATTTTTGGACCCTTTTTCAAATTTCAAATTCTTTCTTTGCAATTACCGGAATCTACTCTGCCTCATTCTTTCCGCAATCGGAATCGGAATTTCACCGAACAAACGCTGTCGCGTGCATTAAACAAGCGCACCAGAACCAAAACATGGCGGAATGACTTTGGAATGGTGTCGCAATGGCACCAAAGAAACGCTGCCTTAAAGGGGAAGTTAAGGCAAAAATTAAAATGTCACCAGTTGTAGTCTTCGGGGTGCTGAGTCGAATGGTCTTGGGCCGAGAAAGCTGAGACGCTCCCTTCCTACTTGAATCCCAATCGAACTCGCGCACTTCCACCGAAACTGGGTGACTGCGCCCTACTAGATGGGGATTTGTATGCAAAATGTCACTAAAAGCACCATTTCGTTCTTATAAAAGCACGGATGACCGCGATTGGCCCATATGTTGTAGTCTTTTGGACGCTGAGTCGACTGGTTGTGGTCCGAAAAGGCTGCGATGCAGCGTTCCTCCTGTATTCCCAATCGAACATGGTTGAACAAGCGGTCACGTGCTCCTGGGTGCCAAAATCACCTGGTCACCACGCCAGTAGGCGACAACTTTCACACCAAGGTTCAACTCGAGTTCAACTCGAGTGACAGGACTGCACCCAAAAAAGGTCAAACAGGCTAGTAAGTTGTACCCTGCAGGCACGGTGACCAGGTGACTGGTGTACGCAGGAGCACGTGACCGCTTGTTCAACCATGTTCCATTGGGAATAAAGGAGGAACGCTGCCTCGCAGCCTTTTCGGACCACAACCAGTCGACTCAGCGTCCAAAAGACTACAACATATGGGCCAATCGCGGTTATCCGTGCTTTTATAAGAACGAAATGGCGCTTTTAGTGACATTCCCGTCCTCACAGCATCCCGCTACCGCAAGGTCCACAGCCTCAGACTGCATGTCAGAACTGCCGCAAGTGTCTTTTGGCGAAGTAGAACGGCTTCTCCGACAGATCCATCCTGCCAAAGCAACAGGAAGCGACGGGATACCTGGTCACCTTCTGAAGTGCTGTGCCGATATCCTAGCTGCGTCCGTGGCCACGTTGTTTAATGCCTCGCTTGTCAATGGCACTGTCCCCACAGCCTTCAAACTCGCACACGTTATCCCGCTGTTCAAAGCTGGGGACCCGTCTATTCCCACTAACTTCCGTCCAGTGTCCCTACTTCCCATATTATCAAAACTCTTGGAGAAAGTCGTACAAAAGAAGCTAGCCCAGTTTTTGGACATATCTGGTACCCTCCCCACGACTCAGTTTGCATTCCGCGCAGGCCACTCAACGGAGGATGCCCTGGTACTTATGCTAAATCGTATTCTTAGTGCACGGGACAAGCGTTTGTGTACTGGCATATGCCTTCTAGATATGTCAAAGGCATTCGACAAGGTTCGTCACGAACGGCTACTCCAGGACCTATTCGATATCGGCATAACAGGGACAGCCCTAAAGTGGTTTTCCGCCTATCTGTCGGGCCGTACTCAGCGTATCTGTATTGGACGGGATCAGAGTGCCATTTCTGCACCATCCTGTGGCGTGCCACAAGGTTCTGTTCTAGGACCGATCCTTTTCAGTATCTACACCCGCGAAGTTCCAACCATAGATAACCAGTCTTCATCAGTTCAATTTGCCGATGACATTGCGCTGATCAGCAGCAGCACATCCCTGGACACGGTATCTGCTACGCTATCGGCCTCGGTTTCTGCACTTGCTGACTGGTTGCAGACCCGTGGTCTCATTTTGAATGCAGCCAAGAGCCACGTGATCCCTGTATACCCCAACAGGCAGCCTCAGCAGCCCCAGCATACGATCAATGTAAACTGTCATGAAACGCCGATTCCTGTCGTTACTGCGGCCAGGTATCTTGGAGTGCTCCTCGACTCGGATCTGTCATGGACGCCCCATGTTGATCGCTGCACTGCTCGACTGGCCCAGACGATCGGAGCACTATGGAGGTTGCGTCGCTGCTTGACTCATCAGAGCCGAGTTCTCTACTCTAAAGCGATCATCATGTCTGACCTGATGTACGGATCCAATGCGTTTTCCCCGCTTCTTACTGCCAACCAATTGGATCGGCTACAAGTCATGCAGAATCGGGCGGCAAGGGCGGTTTTCGGACTCTCGCATCACACCTCCGCGCGTGCGCTCCTGCTGCAATTGGACACCTACAGAGTATCCGAGATATTCAGGCAGAAGTTCATCGTTCTGGTCTGGAGGTCTCGGAATGAGCACGCAAGTTCTGAACTGCAAGCCCTCCTAGTTCCTTCGTCAGCTGGCCCAACTAGGTTGCACTCCACCATGGGTCTGCGCCAACCGCCAGTTTCCACCAGGTTCGGCAAGGGTTGCCTCGCGTTCCGGGGCGCCCAGCTGTGGAACACATTACCCAGCGATGTACGTGCCATCTCCACACTCCGCCAGTTCCGCGCCAGCATGATCCCGCACACACTTACTGGCCTTTAATAGTACCTAGAGTACCAAACGTCCTGTTTGATGATCAGCTGGCTTAGTTTTTCTCCACCTCTATCCTAATTACATCAGTCCCCAATTTCATTTATTACTGCTTTCTATCTGCATTCGCCACCTTTTCATTGGGCAGATCTGCCCGTTTGGTTTGCGAATTAAAATAAACACAACAACAACAACAACAACATTTTGCATGCAAATCCCCATCTAGTAGGGCGCAGTCACCCAGTTTCGGTGGAAGTGCGCGAGTTCGATTGGGATTCAAGCAGGAAGGGAGCGTCTCAGTTTTTTCGGACCAAGACCATTCGACTCAGCACCCCGAAGACTACAACTGGTAAAATTTTGATTTTTGCCTTAACTTCCCCTTTAATCTACCAGCAATATCACGTGTTGACATGTGTGTGCCATTAAATTTGTCATTGAATTGTGCTAATTACTGTAAAGTTCGCTGCAAACGCCCACCCCATTTTGCAAGATCTGCTGGCCTGTACACACTGACCCCATGCACTGTCACCCCTACTGTACGAAAGTGCTACTCAGGAGACGAATCGCGTCCTGTCAGAACAGCAATTTGGCTTCCGTCGCGGCCACAGTGCAGCAGACCTGCTGACTGCTCTCCACCACCAGTGGGTGCACACCGCAGGAGATCAAGGAGCTTCTCGAGTGCTGGCCATCGACATTGCTGGAGCATTTGACCGGGTGTCTCACACTGGTGTATTGCACAAGGCTAGAGCGTATGGCATCTCGGGAGACCTGCATCGGTGGCTCCAAGACTACCTCTGCAACCGCACACTTCAAGTCCTTATCTCCGGCCAGACATCAGCCAGACGCCCAGTTAAGGCTGGGGTGCCACAGGGCAGTATCCTGGGCCCCACCTTATTCTTGGTCTACGTCAACGACCTTGAAGACCACCTCCCAATCGGCTCCAACCCTCATTCGCCGACGACACAACCCTTTACGCCGAAATTGCAAATCTCGCTGCTATTCCTGACAACGGTAGAGTACTCCAGGCTGCTGTTGACCTAGTATCCAGTTGGGGTTCAGATTGGAAAGTGCAGTTCGAGCCAGCCAAATCTCAGGCCCTTACAATTTCCCACCATCGTCGGGACTGGCCAATACCCCCCCCCCCCCCCATTGTCTTCAATGGAACTCCTGTCGAGGAGCAGCCCTCCATCAAAGTACTCGTTTGACCATCAGCTAAAATTCAGCCAGCATATCCGAACTGTTGTAGTCCGAGCAACGCAGAGACTTGGAGCCTTGCGCAAGGCATTTCACTTGCTGGCTATTCCTGCCCGGCTTCGAGCCTACAAAGCCTTTGTCCGGCCGGTTATGGAGTACTGCCCACTCGTCTGGATGGGGGCAGCTCCTTCCCACTTGAATAGGCTGGACTGGGTGCAGGAGCGAGCCATCAAGGCAATACATCCGCAATGCTGGCTTCCTAGCCTCATAATTCTCCGCACCATTGCTACCCTCTGCCTCCTGTATAAAGCCCTTTGCGATTATTCTTCCTCTCTTCTCTCGAGAATGGCTCCACCCCCGACTCACCAACCCAGGACCACACGCCTCACCCACCAGGCTGTACGACTGTCCACAGCGCATCCCCATCAGTTACAGAATGTTCTTCCTGCCAATTCCCGGAACAATGTGAGCCGAGCCTTTTCCCACTTCGTCATCCCAATTTGGAACCAGCTGCCTTCCTCTTTCATTCCCCACCCATCTCACCCAAAGATCATCCAAAAGTTCAAGACAGCAGCTTATCACCATCTCCTCAGAACGAACTGGCACTGGGCCACTCATAGCATACGCGAGTAAGAGGGTACAGTGTCCTACCCTGCTTGGACACACGTGTAATCTCTCCTCAAAGACAGTCTCCTCTTGAATTTAAAAGTCTAACAGCGTTCACATCAATACTCAACTTATTCTTTTGCTCACTGAGCAATACAATCTTTCCACTTTCTTTCTTCTGTTTTCTTTCTCAATTTAATCCTCCCTACCCAACATCCCTTTGGTGCGTCCATGGAGCTATGAAGCCGAGACCTCTGGTCGGCAGCGCTTAATGGGCCCCACCACCACACTCCATTATTCACCCCAGTGTCTGGAGATATGTGGATTTTGTAGAGAGCAAAAAAACTCACACTGTAGCACGAGAAGCGCTTTGCTACGGTAAACTAGGTCCACTTTCATGGTTTCAAAATCTCTTTGGCCACTAGCAAGAGTACTTAAAGTACTCTTGGCACTAGCTAGTGATTTTATGATGACGGTTGTTTTAATTCGCAAATCCAAACGGGAGTTTCTTTCGAATAACAAGGTAGCGAAGAACAGAGTATTGCAGGAACCAAATACACTTCTGACGGTCATTTCTAAATCACGCAACGCGCCAAGGCAAGGAATTTTCTCGAGCACTTCAGAGTTTTCAACAAGTTAGCAGCGACTGTGTAGGTGTGGCTTCTGTGACATGCACCCCTGTTCGACTTGCAACTGCAATACTGCGACCGGTCAAGTCGTTGAGTGACGCTTCGTCAGAACAATCACCGTTCCATTCTGAAAGCGCGACATCGTGGCACTGCAGAAATTTCAAGATTTGAAAACCAGATTGATCCTTACGCATTACCACATGGAGAACGAGCTAATAACAAAGACGACTCATTTATCGAATGAAAGGAAATCTTGACAGAAGTTTTCTTCGCAGCATGATGATGACAAACGCTTTGGCAGAGCCTCCTGGTAAAGCCTAGTTCACATTCAACGGGGCGCGACGGAACCCGATGTAAGGATCGACGGGAAGCGACGGGACAGTCGGACGGCGTCCAATGTGAACACCAGGAACGGGAACGCAACCGTACTGCCGTACGGATCGGGAAGCGATGGGAAGAGTTAGGTTACGTTTGGTTGGTCACATTCCCAAATGGGAATCACTTGGAATCACTCAGAATCATTCTCGCTCATTTGGTTGGTCAAAAAAGTGCGTTAGGTTGGTCACATTCCACATGATCCCAGAATGGGAATCGCTGAGAATGATTCTTTTTGGAGAATGATCATTCCACCTCACATGCTAGAATGAGCATTCTCATTCCGGAATCAAAAATGATAATGGCTGCCACGAGCCAAACAATGTAGTAACAGGTTCAAGTGCCTCAAATCCTGCACTCAGAAGTACCATGACTCTCTCAAGGAAACTAGAGTCGGGTAAAAGAAAAGACAGCCGCCGTTCCACAACGACATCATGGAATTGTTATGTCAAGTGATTCCTAATTGATTCTGGCGCGTTAGTTTGGTCAGGTGATTCTTGCCGATTCCCATTCCAGAATGGTTGTCATTTACATTCAGAAAATGCCCAACCAAACGCAACCTTAGATCGATCCAACTTTTCATACCGTAGACGGGCGTAGACGGGGACGCAAGCGTACAAAACAGCTGCATTTTGAGTGTGAACAGGAGACGGCGGCGTGCACCGACTACTCCCGATTCGTACTTGGAATGTTGTAGCATTTCGAACACGGTGCTTCCCATGATAACTCGCAGAATGGCTAACATGACTTGAGTTGAATTTTAGCAAGATAAAGTCTGATGTCATTTATGGTATTTAGGGATAGTTGAGGAGCGTGACAGACGAACTGTTTAATCATTTCCTGGAGCTATTATTTGAATGGCACACCTTTCGAAGCTACTTTTTTGGTGTTCATGAAAACCGGTATTGTGAACTTGATTCCGCTTTATTCAAGAAGAAATACAGTCAGACCTCGCTTATCTGGTCCTCGTTTATCCGGATCCCTCGCCATCCGGAAGAAAATAGTTGGTTACAAATGTACAGCATATGCCATGCTTACATACAGTATGTGTGTTCGATTATCCGGTTCCCTCGCCTATCCGGATAATTTTGTGGAAAACGGATGTGTGCGGTTATGCGAGGTCTGACTGTAATTGAAAAAAAGTCTCAAAAAACAAGAAATTAGGTCCAAAAGCCACCCTGCCACGGACCGTGCCTTATGACTGGCGCCGTTCGCTGTTGAATGACGCAACGACTGCAGCTTGTCGTGTCGTAGGATCGTACACGATTTTTACAGCTCACCTCAGCCTTCCCGACAGGCCCTTACGCCCCGTACCGTCAGCGCTCCGTCGAATGTGAACTAGGCTTAAGACATAGGCAGTTTGTAGGCATTACAGGCGTTCTCGTACGCATTTGACCTTCATGCCAGCTTTCTACAACTATATTGACCTGAAAAAGATGAAAATAGTATGGCCCCGGCGGGGTGGGCGTTTGCTGCGAAGTGTGCGTTTGCAGCGGACTTTACGGCAATATTCTGGCATGGTGAAACCCAGGTAGCGAGTTTATGTTCAGCAACGGCTTCGTAATACAACACAGTAATGGTTTAAAAAGAAGATCAGGCTGGTAAAATATTATGTGAGGGGCGCAAACACCACACACACACACACACACACACACACACACACACACACACACACACACACACACCCACCCACACACACACACACACACACATACATTATGAGGAATTATACTATAAACATACCTCGAACTGACACGAGTACCTTTGGTATGGACAAGTACACACAATGTGTGAGCAGTCCTGAGCCGTATGCCGCTCAAACTGAGCATGGTGATGACCAAGAGAAGCACACATGCACGTGCATACACACACACACACACACACACACACACACACACACACACACACACACACACACATACACATATATACACACACACAGAAACACACACACATACATAGGCACACACATACGCTGATGAGTCCACAAAGGACGAAACAGTTCTGTCCGCAGATTGAGTATTTTGCTCCTGCGCTTGTAGCAGTTGAGCACTCTCATGTGGGGTAGTGCCTTTGCTGCTACCGTTGTGTAGAGCTCACTGACTTGTCAGTTTGAGCACTCTGGCAAGGTAAGTTTGGGCCTGGTTTAAATCTGGCTTCGGAAATTATATTTTCATTGCTATCAGGTTCGGCCTCATTTCCTCTGTGCTGCGCTGACGAGTCCACAAAGGACGAAACAGTTCTGTCTGCAGATTGAGTATATATATATATACTCAATGATGCAGACAGCCAGACTGTTTCGGCCAATGAGGCCTCATCAGTGCAACTCCGACCTTAAAACAGGATTGAACTGCCAGCCATGGCTACGAGAATCACAGACATTAGGACAGCTCGATGTACTAGCGCTGAGAGTGCTCAAACTGCTAGAAGCAGCGGGCAAAGCATAAAGCTAACCAGCGCAAGTGCATCCTATTGAGAGTGCTCTACAAGATCGAAATCGAGGAGCAAAATACTCAATGATGCAGACAGACAGACTGTTGCGGCCAATGAGGCCTCATCAGTGCAAGTCCGAGCTTAAAATAGGATTGAACTGTCAGCCATGGCTACGAGAACCACAGACATTAGGACAGCTCGGTGTACTAGCGCTGAGAGTGCTCAAACTGCTAGAAGCAGCGGGCAAAGCATAAATATAAATATAATTTTTATATATTCACACATACAAGTACCTGGATGCCCACACTCAGGTATTTTGCACAGAATTGTGACATGGCAAATCACTGGTCTGTTTTCAAGACTTACATCTCTGCGTTTAACACTGTTTCCACAACCGTTGGGGCACTGGATCTCGTAGTCCATGCAGTCCTGTGAAAAGTGGTCGTGCATGAGGGCTTGCGCTACGTTCATGCGACACAGGCGACATGGCACTGGCTGATACAAACATTCCTCGTTGACGTGACGGTGCAGATCGCACTGGAACATGGGCTGCGCCTCGCAGCCGCGATTCGGACAGCGCACTAGATTGTACCTGCAAACGCCCATGTGGTCCTGGAAAAGAGCGGAGGTAATAACAGACAAAACGCTATTGAGCATGAGGATGATACAAGATATGTTGGAAAGGGCGATATGATGTGATACACCGGGAGGGAGCTGTGGTTGAGATGGGTCAGGGGGAAACTAGCCTGGAGATATGTTGGTCTCACGAGAACCCCTCCCAGTGCATCTCGATTGAATTTGGATTCAGTGCAATCCATAATAAAATGTGATCCTTACATTCCAGGTACACGTACATGAAATTTATAGTAAAGAAAAGAACCAACGAACTACACATTACGCTATAATGTCCAATAACAGCACCAGTTACTAAACAATCAGCTCATGCGATAACACTGCACGTCACTGCCCGGCGTCGTAGCATTATAGCGTAACTTGTAGTTCCTTGATCCTTTTCTTTACTATAAATAAATCCTTCGCTCTCCATCCGAGTATGTACATGAAATTGTGCTCGATTCTACAATGCAACTATTTCACGCAAAGTCACTGCAATGTCACTCAGGTATAACTATCATCACCCCCCCCCCCCTTAAAAAAGTATGGTCAGACCTGCATATCCAAGTGGTTGTATGTATGTATGTATGTATACTTTATTTGAATTCGCAAATCCAAACGAGCACAAATGCTCAATGACAAGGCAGCGAATATGTTATTATGTTACAGGGAAGGAGGGTTGGGGAGAAAATAAGGAGAACAAAGAGAGAATGGTAGATATCTCAATGAAGAGCGAAGCGTTATCAAACTACAAGTAAGCCAGCGAACGATAAGTCGATAGTTCTGTAACCCGCCTAATAAACTAAGTACTTTTTTTCAGGCGTGCAGTGGACTGTCATTAAAACAGAAACAGAAAAATAATAATAAGGCACCCATTTTGTTTGTCCAGGGGATGGCCCACGCCTGGTTCACTCTATTACCAAGAGTATATAACCCCCCCCCCCCAATAGTGTGCAACTCATGGTACCCTTTCTATGGGGTACGGCGACGGCGAAAACTCACATCACGTGGTGCAGTGTCACAGTTGTACGTTTCCAGCCCGTTTCTAGCGAGCAGCGGAGTAATAGAAAAAGCAATCTCTGACAGAAACTCACTGCGGGTATGCAAATCACCAGCATGATTATGGCAGAAATTCGGATGGCGCGTACGCTATCATTCGTTTGTATGTAGTACGAACGCATCTGAGACACGTTATGTGAGTTTTCGCCGTTGGAGACCCCATAAGCAGAGTTGCACACTCTTGGGGGGGGGGGGGGGTATATACTCTTTCTATTACTATATTAGTATTGTAGATACTAGTTCTGGGTAAACAATTGTACAAATAAAGTTTTTTTAATGCTTTGATTATTACCGACGTCCCTTAAAGGGGAAGTCCGGTGAAAAATTTAAATTTCACAGTCTGTAGAGTTCGGGGCGCTGAGTCGAATGGTCTTTGTCCAAAGAGGCTGCGGCTTATGGTTCGTCAGATACGCCCAATCGAACATGCGCGAATTTGAGCGCGCATCACCCAGATCCAGGTGATGACGTCACAGCGTGCAGCCAGGTAGCCACGCCATCTAGTTGTGTACAAAAATGGCCATATTCGGAGCGCGTTCGATTGGGGAACCGTTTATCGCAGCTTCTTCGGACCAAGACCATTCGATTCAGTGTTACAAACACTACGTACCCTGTGATTTTCAGCTCGGTATACCTGGAGGTTATACCGTATTTTAGCCGTTTCCGAGTTGGACTTTTCCGTTAGCCTAGCCCGTCTACATGGTCTATGCGCTCTGCGCGCGCTGCGTGCATGCAGTGCGTGCAGTGTGTTATCTAGCTGTAGTGCAGTCAACAAACTCATGTCACAACTGACACAAGACTCAGAAAACTAGTCAACACCCGGACTTGTCATGTACTACACTCGTATCAGTCGTATTGTACAGTCATGTAGTCAGAGAACATGCGTTTCTCCTTGCCGGTACCGGTGGTTGTGCTTTGAGAAAGAAAATTTTAGTTTTCTGCACCCGCGGCGCCTCATTATTTTATGCTACAGCGATGAGTGCACAACCGTGACAAGTGACAAAACAGCGAACAGCTCTCGGACCTAGAACTTTCAGATTCTATAGCGTTGCGAGCGAAGAGTCGTGCCCGTGGTTCAAAGAGCCTGCACTGTTCTCCAATTGAGTAGTCCGAAATATTCCAAGTTCGCACCAAAACATCACCATGTGGCAGGCTACTGGAGTCTAAGCGAATCTAATCGGTATGGAACAACATTTAGAGCACTCGCATCACTCTTCTCCATTTTGGCGACCCTGCTCTCCAGCGACCTGATAATTACATCAGCCTCGTCTGCAATAGCTGCTGCTTCTTCATCAGTCGGAAACTCAGTAGCGCTCACTCTTGACCGGCCCGCGCGGCCATTTCTTCAGCTGACTACCGAGGTTCTCAGCCCCAGACCGAACTCATGAAGGTCAGCCATGGCTGCATCCTCACTCTCACAAGGAGTTACATGTCTTCGGGGTCGCTTGCACCACCTAATATCAGTCGCCAAATCATTTGAAATAGCACTGACACTATTGCTTTCACGCACTCCTTTTGTCAGTTTTGACCTAGCTGCACGCTATGACGTTGCAGAGGGTGTGGCGCGGCCGCATGACGTCATGGCGCAGCCCCCGAAACTCAGTTTTTCAAACGGAAATATCTCGAGAACGCTTTGTCGGAGACACGTGGGACCAACACCATTCGACTCAGCGGCCGAAACTCTACCGACCCTGAAATTTAAAGTTTTCACCGGACTTCCCCTTTAACAACTTTAGGGTTCACGGATTGGCATGCTAGCGTCGCCAGCTACATCATGCACGTGACAGGCGCGTGCATATACTGTACCACACAATCGGTCAGTGCTCAAATCGCATTTTCCCATCAATATCACTCACTTTCAACTCTACGGGATTCATTACGGTTGGCTCAAACTGCCTGAATTTTCGAATCCACACGCACGAAAGACGTTCCAAGACTTCCACCGTTCGTATTTTTTCAAACGAGTTTCGGGTTTTCCAGTAACTTTGGCCAAAGTTCGGCTAAAAAAACAGGGGGAGCCGTTGCGTTTCCGTAAAATATTGAACGGTAGAAGGATAGCCAAGGTCGAGAGCAAAACAACGAGCCACTATTTGTCAAAATCGAACAAGAAACGGCTCAGCGTATCTATTTTCCGTGCACGCGCGCGCGTACTTTGGCCGACAAGGTGTCAGAATTTCTAAAGAAGAAGAATAACAAGAGCTGCAGCGCTCGGAACAGCCATGCTGGATACTTCCAATCCCGACACGATGGAGCGTGTTGGCTGTCGTGAGCTGCTGAAACGACCATGACATTTCTTTTTCTTTGTATACCCTACATATCTTGACGTGCCCTTGCTCAGTTTCGGCCTCTTTTACAGGAAGAGTATTTTCTTCCTTGGCATCAGCGGCCAAACAGCAAGAAGAGCAACAGATCGAGATTTGCAGGGCAAACAAAGGATGCGTGCAGCTACATCTAGTCAGGTTCGATGCAGCTGCGCATTGCCAGAACCTCAGCAGATAAGAAAAGACGACAGAGTGTCTCAGATGGAACTGGATCTTTCGCCAAGACCACCACCGCCGCCATCATCAAGTCCAGGTCAGTCAGAAAAACCGAAGCAAAAATGCAAAGCCCGAGTGAAGTGAAGCCACTGAAGCGAAGGAAAAATTCAAAAAGTACGCTCTCCGGCTAGACTTCGATCCGAGTCGATATTTTTTTACTTCGATAGGCGCTGTCGCGGCCTGTAGCGCGCGTCCATAATCCAAAATGGCGGCGCACGTGACGGGTGCTTTTAGTGGCAAGCTTTGAACCCTAAACTTAGAAGTTGGGACATCGGTGGTATTAGTCATGAAGTTGGTTGTTCCAACGAGGAACACATGCTTCTTGCCGAACTTGACACTTGACTAACTCACGACTGCCATCCGGAGCACACGAAGAGCACGTTGCACCTTCCACTCGGCAAACCTGCAAGAAAGCACCACTCCATGCTCAATACACAGTGCTTCAGGGAATTCACCTCTCATCAGTTGAGCTCGAGTAGGCTGAGGAAGAGTGTGCCTGAAAAGCACCATTTATATAGTGCTCTCCAGGCCAAACCATCACTAGGGATACAACCTTACAAAGACGCTTTGTTTCCAGCGACTAATACCGCCGAAGTCGCAACTTTTAAGTTCGTATTGTTGTCCCTCACAAGGACGTGCGACTAGCTGTTGGAGGTGGCAGCGGTGTGAATAGCTACTAGCTCTCAACGTCTGTTTACCACAACTGCGTGAGCGACTCTGACTCCCGCTGCTACCTGGTGCTTCACGAGGTATTTGTCGTGCTGGAAACAAAGCGTTTCTGTAAGGTTGTATCCCTAGTGATGGTATGGCCTGGAGAGCAGTATAAAAGTGGTTCTTTTCAGGCACAATCTACATGAGCCTACTCAAGCTCAACTGACGATGGGTGAATTCCCCGAAACACTGTGTAATGAGCAGGGAGTGGTGCTTTCTTGCAGGTTTGCCGAGTGAAAGGTGCGACTTGCTCCTCGTGTGCTCCGGATGGCAGTCATGAGTCAGTCAAGTGTCGATTTTGGCAAGAAGCGTGTGTTCCTCATTGGAACAACCAACTTCATAAACCTTAACATTTTTATTAAATCCGTCAGCGCCGAGCGAAGGGGGAACACACGTGTATGTGTGGCCGCTGCATCTTAGCTTCTGAAAAAGCGGCTGCGGAAGTGAAAAGCGTGACTATGCTGATACGTATGTAGATAAAAGTGTGGCCGCAGCCTATTAAAATTTACTCAGCATGTGCAAGTTCCGTGGCTTTTGGATGGACTGGGCGGACCACTTCAGGCGAAAAGTGGCGGTAAGACTGGGGTCATACTGGTTGTACCATGTGTGACACCAATGAACGGTGACCAAAAAGGGTGACTATCTGACTGTATATTATCAGATCTTTTACCTTGATGGACTGTTAGTCATAACTCGTAACAATTTGGTCCGTCTACTAATACAAAAAGGGGACTGTGTCTAATGTTGCCGAACATAGGAGGAGCTGTCTGCCAACCAACTACTACTTGAGTGGCTTCCAACTTCTTTCTGAAACATTCAAGAGTGTTTGGTTTTCGTGGTGTTTGGGATGCGTGCGCCTAAACTTCACATGTCCTACTCAAGCTCAACTGATAAGGCCTTAAGGGTTAAATACACCGAAACACTGTGTAAAGAACAGGGAATGGCACATTCCCTAATTACGGTAAATGGAAACTTTGAAATATTTCTCAGGTGCTGCGCAACGCAGTTGTAAGGCAGTCAAACGCCAGTCAATCAGCACAAGAGCAAACCCCGTGCAACAAAAGAAGATTCCACCTTCTTCTAGATGCTTCTGGATGCTTTCTGCACCCAAAAAGGAAAAGGAAAAACGGTCTGCTCCATATGTTGGAGCTCGCGCTTCTGCCAACTGGTCCGACACTTGACTGACTCATGACTCCGTCTGCAGCACACGAGATGCAGTCATGAATCAGTCAAGTGTCAAGTCAGTCGGCAGAAAGCACGAGCTCCGACGTATGGAGTAGACAATTTCTACACTAACGTCCGCAGATGTAGCAATGTTTTTTAACCCGAAAAGGAATTCTAGCAAATGACAAGCGAAAGTCATAATCTGAAAACTTGCTCCTACCATTAAATCTCGGAGTGCACCACTCCATAGACAGCCGTTGAGGTAGTTATCGCAGCGCACTCCCAGTGATAGGACCTCACGCTCACAGCACTTGTCCGCAAACGTCTGTGGTGGGGAAGACAGAGAGACGTACACACATGACCTCCTATTTGAGCACACATGCCATAGTAGAACACACAAGCCGGACTGATGCACAACAGACACCAGAAGCATTAAAGGGGAAGTATAGCCTTAAATCAATTTTTCACCATTTGTAATCTTCGGGGTGCCGAGTTGAATGGTCTTGGTCCGAGGAAGCTGAGACGCTCTCTTCCTCCTTTATTCCCAATCGAACTCGCCATGCACTTCCACCGTAACTGAGTGACTGCGCCCTACTATATGGGGATTTGTATGCAAAATGTCACAAAAGCGCCATATCGTTCTTATAAAAGTATGGATGAACGCGATTGGCCCATAGGTTGTAGTCTTAACTAAGTTAGCCTCTTAAAAAAACCTCGGCGGACCTCGGTCCTTTACTCGGCCTATATTTCCAATATACCTAGTAGACCTCGTCTTGGTCAATATCCTTTACATATAGGGTGCTTTCTCGCAAAGGTAATAGGCAGCAAAAAGATAAGGTGAGAATTGGACCCTTACCGTACCAAAATCAACTGTAGTCGAGTACAAATCTCAACAAGGCTATTTTAAACTACACTACCCTTGCCAATGGGTGCAGAGCAATGTCCTGCATGACACACCACAGCCCGAAGCCCTCAATTCACCTTGTCCACAGGTTCACCGTCCACAGGACAATGCGCATTCTCAACACCAGCACTGGACAAGAATTGGCAAACACCAGACCAAACAAAAATACTCACAACAGTACAAGCACTGACTCCATACAGGATAAAAAGCACGGAATCTTTCACACTGAGCCACCAAAACATCAAAGCGACCAGGTGAAGCATTTCTCTGAAAACAAGAATCTGAAAACCCGTGCTCGGTGCTTGTCGTGGAATTGACATTACACCTGAAAAAGATTGGTATTAGTGGGGTTTTGTATTCCGAAATTCGGCAAAAGATTCGGCACGTGGGACCAAGATCAAAAATGCGCTCGGAGATTTGGCATGTTTGTTCAGAAAAAGATCACTTTGCCGAAATAATTTTCGCAAGAATTTTCTTGTAGAAGAGCGCTAGCTCGTGATTTATTCAAAGGTTTCTTATCGCGACATGGCTTCGCAGGCGTCTTCGGCGACATCTGCATCGTCAGCTACCTCTGATTGCTCCTCTCTATTGCCTGTCTACTCCCTTTCGCTTTATCCTCTGTGTGGCTGAAAAGACCAGGCGATAGGATAAAATTTTAACCGGCTTGGAGTTGGTTCTTCCGAAGCTACTGACGAGGCAGATTTGACCCTCGACTCTTTGGGTGATCAAAAGTTCGGTGTACTTCCTCCACTAAGCTTAACTTCGTTGCATTTTTACAGTTCAGTCCAAAGCATTATAATGGCTATGAAAACGCTTTGCAAAGTGGAAAACAAAGCACCCTATGAGAGATAGTTATTTACAGATGTCACACAGCCCGTTTCAAAGCAGTCCACCTTCATTCCTCGTCTGAATTTGATGACGACTCAATCCTTGATGACATCAAGTCGGCATCCTCGCTGACTTTCGCCTCCAGCTCTGCCAGCTTTTGTCCTGCAGCCTTTACAAGTCTCCAGGACACGATTGGATCGTGGAGATCGTCAAGTTCTTGGTTCGAACTGTGAGCTTGACGACCTCCATGTCTGCGCTGGTAGTTGTTTTCTCTGCCGCTGAGACTCTTCAGAATGCCATGAAAAGAGCCATATGTACACAACAAAACGCTCCTCATCTTGGCAGCGGGGTACTCGTGCCAGCACGTTTCCACAGCCTGCAGAAGCTCCTTTCTGGTTATTTTCGCCACAAGTAACACGTCCTGCAGGCTGCGGAAGAACACCAAGGGGTCGATGTTGAGATCGGGACTTTGTGCCGGCTGAACAACCGGAATGTCGAACCCTTTTCCTTTCCCCTGCGCTGCAAACACACGTGCATTGATTTATTTTGGCTGTGTGCGGATGTGTACCATCGTGCTGGTACAACAGTGGCTGGCCGGCTTCTTTATGAATTTCGGGCACTTCTTCGAGCCACGCGGTCTTTCAAACGCTCATTTTCGCACTTCGGTGTCATACGCCTGGGTTGTGTTTTGGTGACATCCTGTCAAGAACCGGTTATGCTTCGCTTATTTGTTCAAGGACTCCACGCTTTTCTGAGGTTCAAAAGCCTGTCAGAACAATGGACGACACTGCGGCTACCCTATGTAAGGGATAGATCACTGACATGTTTGTCTAATGAAAACACATGATGTTCGACTTGCAAAACAAACGTTTGTAAGAAAATTCGACATCTGATGTTCGAGAAATGACCGAAGAACGCCGAACCGAAATTTGGAATGTAAAACCCCACTATTAACTTGCTGAATCGACTCTTTTCCTATATTCCAAACTGGCAAGAAGAATAACATAAGCTCTGCATGATGAGAGGTTAGACTCACCCATCGGTGTCACGCGAAATTACGCATCTATGAGCGACATCCACAGACCCGGCTGGGAGAGTACGCGTGTACTCGAGTCTCATCCTGAGCACGTTTTTTCTTCGCTTTTATTTCCAGCTCCAGTATAGCTGTATTTTTCATTGGAAAGCCGTCCTCGATTGCCGCGATGCCCGTCTCCAAAAAGAACTCCATCTTCGTCTAAAAAGGCTTGAAATACTCAATATTCAACCGAGTTTCGTCGTCTCAAGCTTTCTTAGATCGAATCATTTTTTTGTTGCAGTTGCAGGGCAGATCCCTGCCACTACTTCAACAGGGTTCCGCTTGAAAGTATGCCTGGAACAAGCCATATCGAAGTTGCAAGTTACCCCTCTCAGCAGGAAATTCGAAATTTCAATGGTGGAAGGTATACTACGAAGAGAATTAAAAAATGTATGTTTGGCCGTGCGATCCTTCAACCTACATCATTCAAACTTTGCAAGATGGTTCTGACCTACATGCTAGGCATGGAACCACAGGGTTTGATGTTATAGCTGACACACAAAGTGACACACATAGCACATTAGTGTGCACAGATACTAAATTAGTGGACGTTGTCATCTTTCCCACTGGTCTCAAATGCACTATGACGTGCTATTTCGCCTAACGTGTGCAACAGACATCCTTCACTAGATTAGTACAACACGGAAACATGTTTCGAAAGACACAACCTAAGATTACTCACATAGTGGGATTGATGCAAGTCTTGCAGAATCGATGTCCGCAGCTGGTCTGAACCGGTGTCTTCAGGGCCATGGTGCAGATCGGACATTGGTGAGCGGCGCGCAGTGGGTCGATAAAGAACACATCGTAACCGCCAGCACTGCTACCCATGATGTCGGCCATTACCTGACCGCGGCCCTCTTCCGCCATGTAGATTCTTGGGTGTTTCACTCAAGACCTTTAAAAAATAGAATAGAGAGAACAGACCAAAAAAACCCACAAAATGACAACAAAAAAGACGTCAGATTTGCTTTGCCATATAGCTGCCATTCGATGTACCTTGATTGCAGATTTGGAATTATGCAACAAGCTTGAACGGGAGGTGATGTGATATTGAGTCGCGTGATAACACATACAGTGTCACACATTGAGTGCGAGATTAGAAACATTGATATTATCACTTATGTGTTAAGTTAGAAGTCATCTTGCATTGTGTTCAGTTTATCATCAATGGAACAATAAATGAGTTCAGAGTCCGATCAGGACACAACAGGTACTAAACGAGTGCACGAAACGAAAACAGTCAACAGCAGAGAGGCTTGTATTACTATTTGGAAACTGAGCACAGTTGTCATTCCACTGACGGGGCAGAATAAAGAGAGGGCATTTTTTCTACCACGCAGCGACGCCACACTTACCCTGACGCGACGCAGCTTGGTCAAGCTTTTCAAAGCACGTGGTCGTAGCGCAGCGTGTCCTTGGGCCCTGGGGATCTTGAATGAGATCGCTGCGTGATTATCATAACGATATGCGCAAAGGCCCCTGAGGTTAGACTCCGCAGCTTTGCTAGAAGACAACACTCAGACACCCTGTGCTGTGCTGTCGTTCAGTCGCGTCAAACCGGGGACATTAGGAACTAGATCTTCCTGTCTATTATCCACAAATTTAGGTTCCTGCTACTCCGCAACCCGCAAAGAGTTCCGAAAGCAAAATCAGCGTCTACCATGCATGGTCTAACTGACCTACCACGATTTCAGCAGCAGCACCAGAAAGAAGCAGAATGGAGAGGAACGTAATAATAATTATGTACTCCAAGCAAGTAGATCTACTACTACTGTACTTGACTACATACATGTACTGTCATTGTACTTTTTTTGTAGTACTGGTACTTTTCTAAGCACTCGCAGACTCCATTGCAGCCATTCACACATTATAGGGTACCTCACTTCAAACTCTCCAACTACGGTCTCTTCGCTGCATATGTTCACTTCACTTCCAAAAAAAACAAATAATATTAGATATAAATTGAATGCACCAAATTGGTACTACTACATGTACTAGAATGAAGTAACACTGCAGTCTGCAGTTGTACTTATGCCATATTATTGCCAGGTGTGTCTTTACCACCGTATATCTACTACTATTGCTAGTACTATATCATTTGAGCAGAACAGTAAACATGGTAAATTTCATCATGTAACATTGTTTCGGACATACCGTTCTCTCTGGCCGATCTTCACCTTTACTTCAACTAGTTCCAGTAAAGGAACGCCAATTTTTGCATGCCAGACGCGAAAAAAAGACTGCATGCATGGGTACTAGTACTACTACCGGGTAGTACTCAGATCTACCATGTACCAGTTCAGTACCACACTCCACAGCTACTCAGCTGACACATGTACACATGTGACATGGCTGATGTAGTCTTTGTAGACCATACATGGTAAACACGCTGAGCCTGACGAGAAGCTAGACGCACGCGTTCTAGAACTACATACCGTATTATCTCTAATATAAGCACGGTCCTTTATTTTTTCAATGTACCTCCGCCCCGTGCTATTAATGGAGACGTTCCTTTATTGGAGACTGTTCCATTATTATTTCAACCCCATTTCAGAGGCATGTTGCCATGCCAAATTCATGTATGACACACACATTTCAGGGTTTTTTTTGCCGGTACAGATAGTGAATTTACACAGTGTGCTTATAATGGAGACTGAGCACTTTATTTTTTGAATGCCGCCCCAAGGTGTTCTATTATTGGAGACGTGCTATTATTGGAGACTGTGCTTATATTAGAGATAATACGGTATTAACATAGTCATTGTGTAGTACATGTACTACTACTAGTACTAGTAAAGTTTGCACGTCCGCTTTCCACCGAATGTACTTTTTTTGTTGAGAGGTCCTCCCGTCCTAGATCCTCTACACCAGTCCTGGTGATGACCATGATCAGATGATGACTGATGTCCTAGATAGGACATCACGGAACCCAACATGCCCCAGCATACATACTATGCTGTTCCCATAGTAATCGTGACACGTGACTCAAAACTTTGTGTCGCTTCCGAGGAAGATGAACATGTCGCACTCAAAACAAACGCAATCAGAGTGCGATGTCCTACACTTGTACTACTAGTACTAGTTGTAGATAGGACATCTCCCCCGACTGGCATCATGGTACAACCAGCTTTGGAAGTTTCGCATGTGCCAGGCCACCACCATGCAGGCATGCATGCCTGTGCTACCAGTACCAGGGTGGCTGATGCACATAATAATTATTATTATTATCAAGAGTACATAACCCCTTGGGGTTATGTACTCTTGATAATACTTACTAGTGTAGTATCCCTGCCCGACCAATACGGAAGTAGTACGGAACTAATACGGAGCTTTGCCTGATGTATAGTTAGTGTATCTCCGTATGTAAGCGTACGGCATCTGCTGCATAAAAGCAGCTGCGCTTTTCTGTTTTAATTAGATTAGATTAGATAGCAACGAAAGATAACTCGAAGAAGTAGTCAACCTCTAGGTGAGCACCGGAGAGATCTTGAATCTTATTTATTTTGCCGCTTCTTCTTTCACTAATAATTATATCTCAGGTGTGTACCTGAAAGTAGAATAAAAGTAATTCTTGTTGATTTCACCGCGCCTACCACTCGGCTACCCATTACATTGGTGGCAGCGGTGGGATTCGAACCCACGCCTCCGGAGAGACTGGAGTGTCATTCGTTGCTCGCTTTCATAGTAAGTTTCGGTCGCTGACCATGCTGACCGCTCTGATCTGGCGCTACTTGCCGCTAGCCTAGTGCTGGCAACTGAAATCCGACCGCCTGAGCGGTGCGCTCACATCGCAAATAATGCGAACCCACCGCTCAGGGGGTCGGATTTCAGTTGCCACCACTGTAGTACTGTGTACTCAGACTGTGTAGTACAATACTGCAGTATTGTTTTTATTCCATTTCTCATTTTTCATTCGTGTTGGGTTTAACTACTCACTGTACGGATACATGGTGATGATTGTGCTTTGCTTTGCCTGTAAAAGAGGCCTTCCAATTCCCTATCATACAAATTACCATTCTGCAGTCTACACTTCCCAGGGCAATCTCTCGTATACCGTAGATGTCTACGGATGACATCATTGTAGTTCTTTTTTTTTCTCTTGTATTATTATTATTTTTACATGTACTTTTTTAATGCAACCCAATTATTGTGGAAAGGTCACAACAATAAGAGACAAGATCAAAAGGAAAGCTTTACAATAATAGAATTACAGATGGAGCGGACTCGCTCCCTTCTATTTACACTGCAACGTTCGAACACATTTTTGTAGTTAAAACAACGTTTCGGCATATAGCCCTCATCAGGTTTGCAATGATGTGCACTCTACAAAGGAGCAGCAAATATACTGTGCTGTGCTGTGTTTGCGCCAAATGTGTCAGCTACAAAGGTGGCGAAAGGGATTGGTGATATATTAATATCCAGATACGATATATTCACAGTAGTGCCCAGCCAGCATTAGTGTTTACTTGCGGCCGCAAGTTGCGGATTTCAACAGCTTCTCGCAGTTTTCTGCTTGCTCTGTCGCCTGCCCTTGCCAGGACTGACACAGCCGAGAACACACTATCCGCAGCAGCTATACTCTCGCCAGAATGTTTGTCGCGCACGTGGTCACCCCATGGCTTATCGAGAGTGTGACGGCGTGCCTCGCCATTGTGCTCCCGAATTCTTGTTTCCAAGGAGCGTTCCGTCTCCCCTACATACGTTTCCCGGCACCATTTGCATTGCAATTCGTAGACTACATTCTTTGTCATACATACTCGTTCGCCTCCAGACTGACAGGTAATGCAAGGCCCTAGTGGACGTCCTCTTCGTCTTTTTCAGTAATGTTGGGCTCGTTTACGCATTTGGGTGGTAACAGCGCCGAACGGCACAGTTGACGCCTGAGGCTGCCCGAGTGCTCGTATACGACACGTACCGGCAACTTGTATTTCCGTATTGCTTTGTTCACATGGTGGTGTACTTCATCGGATTTGATCGGTAGTTTAAGGAAGGCAGAGCGGGGATTACCGCGTCGTCTACGCCGAGGTTTCCTGGCAGCTTCCCTTGCTTCCGATATGGTAATGTCTGGGTAGTTATGTATGCGCAGTTGTTTGCGTATTTTTTGTTCGCTCTCGGCTTGCATCATGGGGTTAGACGATAGTCGCTGTGCCCTTAGGAATTGAGATTGAGCGACGGCTAACTTGATGTGGTGAGGAACTGCCGATGAATAATCCACCAGTAGGCCACTACTGCATGCCTTCTGGAACAATTTGAATGACAGCTCTCCGGTTTGCCCAACCGCGATCGTTACGTCCATGTAGTCTATGCAGCCACTGTCACAACTTAATTCATGCGTGAATTTGATACGTTCGTGGCTGGCGTTGAATCTTTCTATGAGCTCCAGAGGGTGCTGCCTACCATGTGTCCATAGGATGATGATATCGTCGATGTATCGTCTGAACAGAATAGGTTGGAAGGGTGAGTCCTGAAGAAGTCGTGTCTCAATGGTGTGCATAAACAGGATGGCAAATGGAGGTGCCAGGTTGTTCCCCATAGCAACCCCATTTAGCTGGTGGTAGATCTGTCTGCCAAATCTGAAGTAGTTATGACTCAGAACAAACTTCAGTAGTGTCCTGACTTGGGTCACGCTCAGCCCGAGCATATCAACTCTGTTATAGTGTTGCTCTAGCACGTCACTAACGGCATTCACGCCCTCTTCGATCGGTATGCTGGGATACAAACCCACCACATCCATCGTAGCCAGAATCGTTCCAGTAGGTGCTTTAAGGCCAGGGTATATGGTGCGGATATTGTCTAGCGCGTCTTTGGTGTTGATGAGGTGCGATGGGACAAATGCAAGCAGTTGATGCAATATGCGTTCGAGAACCACCGAAATTCCTGTGACTGGACTGTCACAAGCAGAGACAACAGGTCGGAGGGGCAAATTTTGCTTGTGGTCCTTTGGAAGACCGTATATTTCCGGGAATCGTGTGTCATGAGGGAGTATTGCAGTCAGAAGATCAGGATCCATATTCGTGCATTGCTCTTCCAGTATGGATTTAACCTCTTTCTCATACGCAGTGATAGTTAGATCCACTTTTCTGTACATAGAGCTGTCAGACAGAAGTGCCTCTGCCTTCTCCAGGTAGAGTTCCTGTTTCATAGCTACTAGCTTCTTGCTCTTGTCGGATTGCTTTATCACTACACTGGGGTCATGACGAAGTTCTCTCAGTCCGTCGCGTTCCTCTTGCGTCATATTATGCTTGGGAGGTCTTTGTTTGCCATATGCTGCCAAAACTTCGTCCTTGAAGTTGGCCATCTTTCTTTCCCCATCCTGGCTCATTCTGGGCGGTTGCTTGAAGCCATGCTTTTTTAGCTTCCACAGCCTGCGATCACACTCGGTACCGGTATCGTGGTCGTCCTCTGGCTGGTCCACACCCTGAGGCCGCGCCTGCTGCCATCTCAAAGTGTAGGCCATCCGTTCTACGGAGGTGACCACTTCTGATTTCTCACGACTGGTTAACTTGCCCGTGGACGGTACAAAACCGGGTCCCAGTTCCAATACCCGTCTGGCATTGTCTGTTACACACGAGTCCATGACAAGCGTTCGCCGAGAACGCTCCATTCCCGTCCGGCCGGGACTACCCAGGGCTGTCCCACTCTGGTAGGACGACGCGGGCAAACATGCCTCATGCGCTTCCCTGGCATCTTCTTGGGCTTGAAGCCTAGACTGCTTCCATCGAAGCCTTGCATTGGTACGGA